ATCGGCAGGCGGACTCTCAACCACTGTGCCACCAGGGAAGCCCCATGGTAGTGTTTTTTGACTGAGTCTCAGAACTCATATTTCATTGAGTCTAAGATGTATTTTTTTTCATGTTTGATATCTTGGAAATTGGGATGTGTCTTACAGTCACTGTTGCGAGGTGGTAGTTGTGCTGTGGTTGCATTACCTGTGTGTGCATCAGTTTACACAATAGGAGACAGATTTGGAAAAAGTCATGAGTACTCTTGTAAGAAATGTTGCTCACCAATGTTCTCGATGGCACACAGAACCACATTTTGGGGGAAACACAGACATCAACAGTTCCAAGCAAAGATGCTTCAGCTGAGTACAGAACTACCCTGAATGTGAGGAAGCTTAGAAAAACCAAAGCCACTTTATTTCCCCGTTACTTTCCACTTTATGAACGAATGAGAACAATATATGTTAAAAGAAATAACACTATGTACAAGTAAGTCTAAAAGGGATCTTTCAATAAGTATAAAACTAAAATTCTAAGCAATAAGAAAGCAACCATTTGCAGTTTAATTGGCAGCATTTTCTTCTTTCTTAAGAGCATAAAAGGCATCTTATAATCGATGGTGTCTTAGATTGGATCGAACACTCCATGAAGTCACCAGTTAGCTGGAACTGATATTTGACAGTCAGCAGTACGTGTGTGCATCGTTCTTATCTTCCCAAGGACATTCAAGTCGCTGGAGGACAGAGACAACATCTCCTACAGCACCTAGCTCAGTTCTGGGCACAGGGATGGAATGGTGTTTGTTAAGTTAAATGCCAGAATAATACTGCAGAAGAATAAATTTTCCTTTGAGAACTGACGGCTCTAGGATCTCTAGAGTTTTTGTCCAGTGCTCTGTAGCAACATGGAAGTGACAGGCAGCATGGACAGACAGGTGGCCACACATACTAGCTTTTGCAATCCTGTCTGGCCCCTCCCCAACTCATATCCCACCCCCTCTGCCCACCTCAGACCCATCCCCTCAGTGGAATGCTATTAATCCCTGGTGCTTAGGTCTTGCAGACACGGACTCAGTCAACACTTAAACACAATTCAGACATACGCCGCAGCACTTCCTCCACCCGCATATCCCCTCATGGACTGACTCCCTCCCTCCCAGCCCAGCCTTGCTCCCTGGGCCCTGGGTCTTTCCAGGACAGCTACTTCTGCTAACGGACCTCTTCCAGATGTAAGCTGCAGGGTCATGGCCTTGAGTGGGGTCACTAAAGTGGGATCAGCAGAACTAAAGCAGCAGGCACCACGGGTCTCCCACAGCCCCAGGAAGCTCTCTTCTAAAAGTCTGAGACCATAGACTCTTTAAGCAACTTTGGAGCAAGTGACCCTGATACAGCCAGGATTTTCCCTTCAGCTTCAGTGTGAAGGGAATAAACAGTAATTCTTGACTTTTCCTTACGGTGAGATTTATGCCCTTCCAGAGTTTGAGACAAATAATATTTCTGCCCGGTCTGATCATCTACCATGGTCACCCAGACCTTTGTGTAAATAACCTTTGTTCCAAAAACATCAAATTCCTCCTCCCCAAACAAATATTTACCAGCATTAAGGATGTTTAAAAGATTGTGCTGTATGCTTTGAAATCAGTTCCACAGGAGAAACTTAAAGACTTTGAGCTTTGGCCCTGTCACCAAAATAAGTATATGCCTCCTTAGATGATTATTTTGATGGGAACAATGGAATCTAGATGGATCTGTTCTGGAATATCAAAAAATGAGTCATTTCTTTGTAGACACAACTCCTAAAAACTGCTTGAGAAGAAGGTATTTGAAGAGGTTCTCTGGAAATGCAGCACAAACGCATTTACACAGAAGCAACAGATCAACTGTGTGTCCACTGGAATGTAAGCTCTGTGGGAGCAGGGATTTGTGTCCAAGCGCCACTGGACATCCCAAGCCAGGGCATTGGTGGCCCACGGCAGCTGTTGTTGAATGAGGAAGCACTGGCTCTGTGTCAGGCACTTCATGGCTTTAACCCTAAGAGCTGGGTGAAGCTGGTGTTTTTTTTTTTGTTTTTTTTGTTTTTTTTTTTGCGGCACGCGGGCCTCTCCCTGTTGTGGCCTCTCCCGTTGAGGAGCACAGGCTCCGGATGCGCAGGCTCAGCGGCCATGGCTCACGGGCCCAGCCTCTCCGCGGCACGTGGGATCCTCCCAGTCCTGGGCACGAACCCGTGTCCCCTGCATCGGCAGGCGGACTCCCGACCACTGTGCCACCAGGGAAGCCCGAAACTGGTGTTTTTAACCAAGGCTTCCCTGCTAGCTGGATTCCAAACCCTGCTCTTTTCACCACCAGCATTCCCAGAAGTTTTCTCCAGAGCAGTGGTCATCACACCTTTTGCTGTTACAGCCCCATAAGAATTTTGAAAAGCTAGTACCTCCTTGCACATTTTTTAACTTGACAGCAAGTATTTTTCACCTTATGGTTAAATAGTTAGAATTTCTAAGTAGATTAAATGTCTAGATATTATAAATATTGACACTTTAAAATCAATGTGTTAAATTATTCTTTTAAAAGTGTCCAATGTACATACCACATACCACAGTGATACAACATCCATTATTGTCCGTTTTAAAATGACAGGAGCAAGCTCTCCTTTAAAAATTAGAGCTGCTGCCATAAACAAGACAAAAAGACAACCCTCAGAATGGGAGAACATATTTGCAAATGAAGCAACTGACAAAGGATTAATCTCCAAAATTTACAAGCAGCTCATGCAGCTCAATGTCAAAAAAACAAACAACCCAATCCAATAATGGGCAGAGAACCTAAATAGACATTTCTCCAAAGAAGATATACAGATTGCCAGCAAACACATGAAAGGATGCTCAACATCACTAATCATTAGAAAAATGCAAATCAAAACTACAATGAGGTATCACCTCACACCAGTCAGAATGGCCATCATCAAAAAATCTACAAACAGTAAATGCTGGAGAGGGTGTGGAGAAAGGGAACACTCTTGCACTGCTGGTGGGAATGTAAATTGATACAGCCACTATGGAGAACAGTATGGAGGTTCCTTAAAAAACTAAAAATAGAACTACCATACGACCCAGCAATCCCACTATTGGGCATATACCCTGAGAAAACCATAATTCAAGAAGAGTCATGCACTACAAGGTTCACTGCAGCTCTATTTACAATAGCCAGGACATGGAAGCAACCTAAGTGTCCATAATCGGATGAATGGATAAAGAAGATGTGGCACATATATACAATGGAATATTACTCAGCCATAAAAGGAAACAAAATTGAGTTATTTGTGGTGAGGTGGATGGACCTAGAGACTCATACAGAGTGAAATTAAGTCAGAAAGAGAAAAACAAATACCGTGTGCTAACACATATATATGTCATCTAAAAAAAAAAAGGTTCTGAAGAACCTAGGGGCAGGACAGGAATAAAGACGCAGACGTAGAGAACGGACTTGAGGACATGGGAATGGGTAACGGTAAGCTGGGACGAAGTGAGAGAGTGGTATGGACCTATATACACTACCAAATGTAAATAGATAGCTAGTGGGAAGCAGCCACATAGCACAGGGAGATCAGCTCGGTGCTTTGTGTCCATCTAGAGGGGTGGGATAGGGAGGGTGGGAGGGAGATGCAAGAGGGAGGGGATATGGGGATATATGTATATGTATAGCTGATTCACTTTGTTATAAAGCAGAAACTAACACACCATTGTAAAGCAATTATACTCCAATAAAGATGTTAAAAAAAAATTAGAGTTGCTACATTATTCTTTTTTCTCCTTGAAATTGTATCTCTATTCTATGACATTCAGAAACTTTAACTTGATATCTGTTTTTATGCTTGAAAATGTTTTATTTGATCAATCCGTCATAATTCTCTATAACCAAAGGATCCATACGTATTGAAATTTAAATTAAAAGACAATTCCAGTGATCAAAATCTCCAGTCCTTAAAAAAATTCCTTCTGGAGTGAGTTATCATTCTAATTATTTTGGGTACAAGTATTAAACTTTTGATAAATACTAAACATAAAAAATAAAGTTTTAATGGAAATGCACCTCCAAATGAGATGGGTAGGGGCAGGTTATGGTGCTTTGATTAAGAGAGGCATCACCAACACCAAAGCTTCACATCATCCCTTTGTTTGACCAGGTTTTCCAACCCAGGAAAATGTATTTGTTGCAATAAGATTCTTTATGGGTGGGAACCCCATGACTGAAACAGTGGAAAGAAGGAAAGTTCACCACCCTGTGACCTCAGATTGTTGCTCTGACAGACGAACTTAGAAGAGTATTGCGGCTTCCTTGGTGGCGCAGTGGTTAAGAATCCGCCTGCCAACACAGGGGACACAGCTTCAAGTCCTTGTCTGGGAAGATCCCACATGCCACGGAGCAACTAAGCCCGTGTGCCACAACTACTGAAGTCTGCACGCCTAGAGCGTGTGCCCCACAACAAGAGAAGCCACCGCAATGAGAAGCCCTCGCACCGCAACAA